TTCCAATACGAAAACTGTTAAAATTAATGTGGGATAACTGCCTAATATATAGATGTTATTAATATTTTCAAACAGTTTTACATAGAACTCATAGGAAGACTGTTAACAAATAACTTAGTTTGTTAAATTTTTATTGAGACCATCGACCGATCAATGAAAACCTGAAAGCATTGATCGTTTTCATGGTCTCAATAAAAACTCAACAATCTATCTAACCCTATACTGGTAATTTGATCCGTTACTTTTAAAACTAGTTTTGTTACATTTTCATTCGCAAGAACTAATTTAATTGCTTTACTGCTTTGTACTTGGGACAAATCATTATTATTTCTTACTACGAAAAATAATGAGAGCCAACTTGGCCACAATCATTGTTTGTTGTTAGTTAAGGTGAATAGAAAACTGTTAGAGCATTTCACTACTTACTATTTGTCAGTAGTGTAACTATATATTATAAAAGTTGTATTTTACACCAGTGTTACATAATATGAACTCCAGGCCTTTCATGATCTACTCAATGGAGAAGGAACTACTGTGGAGAGCAACTGGAAGGGGATCAAAGAGGCAATCACTTCAACATGTCATGAGGTCCTGGGTCACAAGAAGCACCATCACAAGGAATGGATCACTGTTGATACACTGGATAAGATTCAAGAAAGGAGGAACAAGAAGGCAGCAATCAATACCAGTCGAACAAGAGCAGAAAAAGCCAAGGCACAAGCTGAATACACAGAAGTAAACAAACAAGTGAAGAGGAGCATCAGAACCGACAAACGTAAATATGTGGAAGATTTAGCAACGACGGCGGAAAAGGCTGCAAGAGAAGGAAACATGAGACAACTGTATGACACGACAAAGAAACTCTCTGGAAATCGCCGCAAACCAGAACGACCAGTGAAAAGCAAGGAAGGCGAGGTAATCACCAACATTGAAGAGCAACAAAACAGGTGGGTAGAACACTTCAAAGAACTCTTGAATCGACCAGCTCCACTGAACCCACCCAACATCGAAGCAGCACCCACGGACCTCCCAATCAATGTTGGCCCACCAACAATTGAAGAAATCAGCATGGCCATCAGACAAATCAAGAGTGGCAAAGCAGCAGGACCGGACAACATCCCAGCAGAGGCACTAAAAGCAGACGTAGCGGCAACTGCAAGGATACTCCACATTCTCTTCAATAAGATTTGGGATGAGGAACAAGTACCAAAGACTGGAAAGAAGGACTTCTGATCAAAATACCGAAGAAAGGCGATCTCAGCAACTGTGATAACTACAGGGGCATCACTCTTCTCTCAATACCGGGAAAAGTCTTCAACAGGGTATTGTTAAACAGGATGAAGGACTGCGTAGACGCCCAACTTCGTGACCAACAGGCAGGATTCCGTAAGGATAGATCGTGTACAGACCAAATCGCAACTCTACGGATCATTGTGGAACAATCAATTGAATGGAATTCATCACTCTACATCAACTTCATTGACTACGAAAAGGCATTTGATAGCGTGGACAGAACAACACTATGGAAACTTCTTCGACACTACGGCGTGCCTCAGAAGATAGTCAATATCATACAGAATTCCTATGATGGATTACACTGCAAAATCGTGCATGGAGGACAGTTGACAAAGTCGTTCGAAGTAAAGACCGGTGTCAGGCAAGGTTGCTTACTCTCACCCTTTCTCTTTCTCCTGGTGATCGACTGGATCATGAAGACGTCAACGTCTGAAGGGAAACGCGGGATACAATGGACATCAAGGATGCAGTTGGACGATCTAGACTTCGCAGATGATCTGGCCCTTCTATCCCAAACGCAACAACAGATGCAGGAGAAGACGAACAGTGTGGCAGCAGCCTCAGCAGCAGTAGGTCTCAATATACACAAAGGGAAAAGCAGGATTCTCCGATACAACACAGAATGCACCAATCCAATCACAATTGACGGAGAAGATTTGGAAGATGTAAAAACCTTTACATATTTGGGCAGCATCATTGATGAACAGGGTGGATCTGATGCAGATGTGAAGGCGCGGATCGGCAAAGCAAGAGCAGCATATTTACAACTGAGGAACATCTGGAACTCAAAGCAACTGTCAACCAACACCAAGGTCAGGATTTTCAATACAAATGTCAAGACAGTTCTACTGTATGGGGCAGAAACCTGGAGAACTACGAAAGCCATCATCCAGAAAATACAGGTGTTTATTAACAGTTGTCTACGCAAAATACTTCAGATCCGTTGGCCGGACACTATTAGCAACAACGTACTGTGGGAGAGAACAAACCAGATCCCAGCGGAGGAAGAAATCAGGAAGAAGCGCTGGAAGTGGATAGGACACACATTGAGGAAAGCACCCAACTGCGTCACAAGACAAGCCCTCACATGGAATCCTGAAGGCCAAAGGGAAAGAGGAAGACCAAAGAACACATTACGCAGGGAAATGGAGATAGACATGAGAAAAATGAACAAGAATTGGATGGAACTAGAAAAGAAGGCCCAGGACAGAGTGAGTTGGAGAATGCTGGTCGGCGGCCTATGCTCCATTGGGAGTAACAGGAGTAAGTAAGTAAGTTATATAATATGGAAGTTTATAATTTATATTTGGTTGATTGTATACTCTCACAAATAGCTATTGATATTTTGACATATTTTCTTAATTCAATAGGTTTTCACCTTCCCAGAATATTCAGTCCTAATCTGCGTCCAGTAAGTGAAATGTGTGGAAGGGGATTCCCGTTTTCCTCACTTCAAGGTGTTCTAATTTACATGATTTTCTCAGCATATAATTATTACTAAGACAGCGTTATAGTTTACCATACTGCTGAACGAAGTGTTGAAGTATCAAAATACATTATTTGTTGTCATCCTTTACTATTTTTTTTTTCATTTCTATGAATATGTGAATTTGGCTAATTGTGAGAACTGTAGCTAATCTACCAAACACCTAGTAGAATTTATCAATTTTCTATTGAGAAAGAAGAGTGATTACATTAAAATCTGTAAATATACTACTGAAAGCTGAATATCCATAATTTCAAGACCCAATCTGAGAGTATTATATGTGACTTGTTTTCCTATTATAACATGATGAAGGGGAATGTAATTTTATACACTACTCAGATAAAAGTGTTTGATAACTGATAAGGAAGAACTGTTTGCCTACATTAAATGATGAAGTCTATTATCAATACAGTGATCAAAAGAACAGTATATACTACCATCGATTTTATCTCTATGTATATAGTATAGATAGTCTAATCAAGATATAGAATACAACTTAGTTTTAGCTCAAAATCTAGAAATTAATGTTAGCTTCTATTCGCCTTTAAAATATATAAGTAAAGAATACTTTTACTTACTGGTCAAATCTCTAGGATTTGAGAGAAAAAAAATGTTATGGCATCATCTTTATTTTGGTAGGATGACAAGGTGTGATACTGAAATTATAAAAAGTATGTACTTTTTCAAATGTGGGTTCTATTAAGTAGGTAATTTAAATAATTTACTTCCAATGTTTGAACTAAACCCCCAGTTGAATAGCAGCCACTTCGCTTAAAAATATCAAGAATTAAATGTATTTGGTTTTTGAATCATGATCTTATTTAAAATCGTTTCATCTGCCATTTTATCCAAAATCAAATAATAAATAACCGAAACTGGTATTGATCTCTTGAATCAATGCATAAGTTTCAAGGTATGATGGCCTGATTTATTGTAGAGAAGGCCGATTATAAATATGGAAAATTTTATAAGCCATATGAAACCATTACATGTATATAACAATTTCACTACATTTCCAGAGAATGATCCTTGTGGTAAACGAATTATATACGTGTTGTTAAATAAACGATATGTATAATTCAAAGTCATTTCTAGTACTTCTTAAGTGTACCTATTTGTAATTAGGTTTTCCAACTATATCTTAACAGGTTTTATATCATGACTAGATAGACATCAAGCTAACAGTGTTTACTAGTAAAGAGGTTGCGGAGATTATTAAGTTTTTGATTAAGATCATGAACCGATTGATGTTAGATCACCTTTGGAAACCTGGAAGCACTGGACGGCCGTCTCGTCCTATTGTGGGACTCCTCAGCAGTGTGCATCCACGATCCCGCTCTCAGGATTCGAACCCAGGGGCTTCGATCTCACGCGCGAACGCTTAACCTACTGGACCACTGAGCCGGCATCCAATGGTGATAGTGTCTAACATCAACCAATCCATGAAATTGCGTGACCAACTTCCGCTGTACTGAGGTAGATACCTGTTTCTACCCGACATGTATTAGCTCCACTGGTCACGGCTTCTCACTAGAACTCCGAGAATTCCCTCACGAAGCTGGTCACCAGTGAGCATGGAAGTTGGTCGCGCAATTTCGTGGATTGGTTGATGTTAGACATTAACACCGTTGGATGCCAGCTCAGTTTCGCGCGCGAGACCGAAGGCTCTGGGTTCGAATCCTGAGAGCGGGATCGTGGATGCACACTGCTGAGGAGTCCCACAATAGGACGAGACGGCCGTCCAGTGCTTCCAGGTTTCCAAGGGTGGTCTAACATCAATCGGTTCATGATCTCAATCAATAACAGTGTTTAGTTTGATAAACTAATAGAAAACTAAGAACTTCATCAATACTTAGACAAAAAAAAATCAACAGAAAACCAATCTTTTGAACTGGTTTTCTCTTTATTGAAATAGTTTGTTAATATAAGGAAATTTTCCATGAATATTGAATACAATCAATTCATGTTCATAAATGTATATATTTTATGAATAATTGAATGTAAGATATTTTGATAACAGAAATATTATGCTCTGGAAAAAATGTATTTCAAATATATTTTTGAAATGGTTTATTTCATTGGTTTGTTCACTGTTGGACAAATAATGAATATGTTCTATTGTGTATTCATCATTCATAGTTCACAAGAGTAAATAAATTCGATTATAATGATTAACATATCATTTTAATATGTGAAGTTTCTTAATGGTTTTTTTAATTTATAATTCTTGAAGACCAACATTAATAGAATGAATCTTTTCCCAGTTTATTTCCTAAAACATAATAAATAATGAAAATTGTTTAAATATTAAAATTACTCTAGTTGTTTAATATAATCTTATTCAGGAGAATTACAAATGTGACAGTTTGACTGTTATGTCATAACTTCAAATTTGTTGAAACTTATTTTAATGTTTGCTCATTGTTCACTAATGCTACTGTTAATAAGGCTTTAGATATTGTATTTAACCTCTTAGATTCTGACACTGAACTTAAACAACGTTGTCCTTTAGAACCCCCAGATATTATTAGAGCGTTGGATCTTTGCTTACATTAAACTGTTTTCAGTTCTCTGGGAGATCTGTACAGACAAACAGAAGATGTAGCTATGGGACCACCGGTTTCTCCAATTGTTGCTAATTCATTCATGAATTCACTGGAAACAAGTGCTATCTCAATGTGTTCCATTGCACCGAAGATTTGGTTAAGATACGTAGATGAAACCTTTGTCATTATAAAACGAGATGTTTTAGACGAACTATTTCAACGTGTCAACAGCATCTATGACAAAATCGAGTTCATTAAAGAGTTGAAATTTCCTGAACACAAACTACCTTTTCTAGACTGCTTGGTTGAAAGGAAGTTTAATAATTTTTAAAAAATTAGTATTTTCCGGAAGCCGACATATTCAGGGAAATTTCTAGATTTTAAGTCTGCGCATCCACACTCTACCAAAGTGACAGTAGCCAAAAATTTGATCACCAGAGTCAAAAAACTTATCACTGAACCAAATGATGTAAAAATGGAAATGAATTTAATTGTATCCACGCTAATGATAAATAATTATCCGAAGGGCTTTATTAAAAGAATAATTAAGAATGAAGAACAAAATGATATTATTAAAAAAAGAGTTAAGCAAAAAGAATGGATTAACATAGTTGTAATCCCATACCGTAAAGGTATTTCAGAAGAGATCAGAAGGATTCTAACACTTCAAAATATAAGAGTATTCTTTCGAACAAACAATACTCTAAGATCAAAACTAGTAAGAATCAAAGATCCAATACACAAAGATGAACAACAGAATTGTGTTTATGAAATCAAATGTAATGACTGTAATGCAACGAATGTAGGTGAAACATCAAGGCAACTGAATGTGAGGGTGAAGGAACACAAACTGTTCTTAAAGCACATTCCTAAATCCTCAGATGATGTAAGAAAGCTTGAGAACAAATCAGCGACAGCATCACACTCGATTGAATCGGGTCATACAGTTGATTTCAGTGGCGCAAGAATCATTCAAAAAGGATTTAATTCTTACAAAGAACGACTAACAGCCGAAGCCCTACATATATAGGCTAATTCAAACAGTATTAATAGGAGAGATGGAATACAACTAGATGTCCCATGGCAACTAATAATTAATAAGTAAGCCTGAACTCCTTATTCCATTTGATCAGTCTATATCATATTAACAAATCAACGGTTTCAAATCAGTTAGCTTATCTGAATATGTTAAACAATTGACTGGAACATTAAAATAACATAATCTTTCGATTGCAAATACATTCTTCTTTGAATTCAGTCTTTTATTTTGTTTACTTATTTATTTATCTTCATTTAATGCATGGTGTGACATTTTCGATTCATTTCATATACAAAATGATATGTTTTTCTTAATATACACAAACCGAAGACAATATATAGTTGAATAAAATTTCTTCTCACATCACATATACACACAGTTTGTTATCTTGACACTTTTCGTTTCACACCATGTATCTCTAACACACTAATGTAAATACATACTTTAACATTGTTAACGTTGATTGGATAACTTATTCAGTATACAGTAAACGAGAGAACCATATACCTATTAATATTCGATAATTTTGTTGTTTGATTATATTTTCCTTGAAAAAGCTTGGCCCAGATTGCCAGGCGAAACGTTGGATTTACTTAAAATTCATTCGCTGAGATTTTACAAATATATATTCTTCCTCTTTAATGAGTTATAACTTCCGCTTTAAATGCCTATTTGAAATGGTATAATAGAAGTGTTAAATGTATCAATATCATTATTATGAAATTAGTTTGTCACAAAACAGTATCAACTGTTAATGATAATAAGGAATAAAAAAAACTAACTCACTTCTATAGAATCAATCAATTTGATGCCAACATTAGGAATGAATAATTTGTCTAATTGAAAATATGGTTTATTATGCATTGGAGTTTTATAGCATTGTCTTTGATTACGGATCAATTCATTAATCCATGTAGTATTTGCATGTAAGAATTGATGCATGAAAAATAAGTCTGATAAAGCTAGAAAAAGAAAATAGCAATTTTATTATTTATTTTTTCGATAGTTGGGATCATGAGACAATTGAAGCTAGACCACCATGGAAAACCTAGAAGCACTGGATGACCGTGGATGCGGACTGCTGAAGAGTCCCACAATAGGACGAAATGGCTGTCCAGTGCTTCCAGATTTTCCATGGTGGTCTAGCATCAATTGACTCATGATCTCAAAGATTGAAATTACTATAATATCCACAAAATCCCCTTCCGATATTTATTTTTTTTGTTAAAAATGACTAGCTAACCTTTATGTTGTACAAATCGTAGATTTTGTATATTCTTAAAAATTCTACTGGAATTTCCTGGGATAAATGATTCAGAATCACTATAAATAAGGTGAAGAAAGGAAGTAATAAATATATGACATTGTTCGACATACAATTAAAATAACATTAAAATGATTCAAATCTTGGCTCTAATAACGATATTCCATGCTGTTTCGTGTGGTCATTAGATTAATTCGAACACTGATCATCAAAGTTATTTCATGTTGGAAAATTTAGGTTTTATTGATATTTCTGGTGAATGCTTCTCACCATTTTCTAATAGATATTTGGTTATAATTGAATGATCAATGCTAAGTGATCACTGTCCTGTTTGTCGAGTCTTTTAGTGCTGTTGCAGATTCTATCTGTCAGGTTGTGATGTAACCATCATTCAAAGTGACTCGATGTCGAGTATATTGTGTTGGGATATTAGGTCGCTAGACGTAGTTATCAGGAAACCCTACAGAAAGTCAGTTGCGTACAGAATAACTCAAATGCAAAGTTTCGGGGTATAACGCGGAGTGATTATACTTTGAAACAGTTAAACCAAGATAAAACGTACGTTTAACGTACAAGCATCAGGTAGCACAAAATAGAAATTCAGAGTATTCGACCGTTAACTTTTATTTATTTAATATCTCAAGAGGTCTGATTTCGTCTAACAGATATGTTCAATAAAGTCAGGTTGGGTAATCACGTGCTAGGCGGAACTATAAATATAAGGAAAAATTAATAGTCGTTGGAAATGAGTCTCTAACTGGTTATTAAATCCTGCCATTCGCTATTTATAGAAGAGTGAAAACAATGCTTAAACAATTCGATATTCAGAAGCGATGGTGTATATTCCATCAAAGAATATAATAACAGAGTTAGAAATCAAACTTGAACTCAAGGTTTTCCGTGTTTAACTTTCCATAACATGCGTTTGGTTGATTTAGTGTGTGAATTCAAATGGGTATTATCCTGTTAACTTTTATTCACAGTTTTATATCAACTGCTAGGTTTGTTTACGTTCTCTGTCCTTACTCTCTTCGTGTCAACTCTTTTCCCTTATTGCTTTATACTACTTATTATTATTGAGTAAACAGTGGTATTCCTAGTAATTTCTACGCGTATGTTGTAGCGCAGATTTATCGTGATATTTAAAAATATTTACATATACTTGTAACATTTATTGTATTTAGCATTCTAATTACTTTCTCTCAGTCCCTGTAGCAGCTGCTGTCAGTTTTTTATGGTCGTTTAATCTTTATTTAGACGCAATAGTTACTATTTTCGTTTGCTCTTCGTTTCGTCTTTGCTTGTTGGAAAACTGTTATCAAGATTAGACATAGGTATCAGCTGTCACTTGCACTGTTGTATATCACAATTATTCTTTATTTTATTCTTGCAAGGGATCCCTTATTCGTCCGGACTTACAGACACACTAAGCGCTACAGATACCTCACAAGTTGAGATTTGTGACTAATTTATGTATATTACTAAATAAAGAGACACTTTTAGACAAATCGCTGTTTTATGGACTTCGGTTTCGAATGTATCTCAATCGTGTAATTAAACGCTTTGATAGACCCAACAGTTCTCAACTTTAGTTCAAGTTGATTTGAATCTCTACAGTACCCGATCCCTGTCTAAAATTGGGGTTTTGCTATCGTGGCATGATAATGACAAGGACCAGAACAATGAAGCACAATGCAGACGGTTCAGAAGAGACAGATGATCCAGCGAATGAAAATATTGTTTCCTAAATTTCTAAGGTGAACTTACCCAATTCTTTGAATCTCGTTTTTAGTAATGTAAACCTTCACCGAAAAGATAGCTGTCTCTTAGTCGACACCTTTGTGAATACCAAATGTAGAGTAGAAGACAAAGAAGCAGTTCAGATATATACAGAAGTAGAAAAGATTGAATTAGAGATTGTGCAGCCTCGTAAACGACTTTTAGGGATTAGACAGAAACCTTTTCACAATATGGAAAACGAGGGTCGAATATTAAAGATATCTTTGTCTCGACCCAGAGACATAAAACCCGGAGTTGCAGTTGTTCGGCCGATATACTAACTCAGATACGAGCAGTGATGTTGAACTTAAGTCAGGCGTAGATACTATTAGGTCACTGTTGATGTCAGTGGGCCTACTTCAAATTCCATGGAAATCCCCTTAAGTTTTGGACGTTTATGAAGGGATTTAAAGTAAGCATCGCGGCCCAACGACTCATGTACTTGTTACACTATTGTAAAGGTATAGCGAAGGATGCTATAGAACATTGCGTTTTATTGCCAGAAGGAGAATGCCACACTAAGGTAATTAGTACTTTACATAAGCCGTTGAAGCATTCTTAACAGAGCTACTGAACGACCATTCATTCCATCAGGACGACGTAGCACGTTTGCAGAAACCAACTGTAATATAGTATCAGTTGCTACAAAGCTCAGACAACATCATTAGATAGAAAACTCATCTCAATTCGAACTAAGGTCCACGCCTTGCCGAGTAACGAAAAAGTGTATTGTCTAAACTATTCTAATGCTCACGAGGCCCCGATCTGTTCACAGTTACTAGCATTGGATCACAACGAAAGGCTAGATATAATGAAGAGGTTTAAGTTCTAATTTAATTATTTGAAGCCTAATCATCGAGCAGCAGACTGTCACTAATTCATCAAGTGCTATATCGATGGTTTTAAACGATGACATTATATAATTCTTCACAGTGAAGAGCCTGAAATTAAGGAGGCATGCTGGAATTCCATTTATTCAACCGGAACATATTTGGAATTTGCAGCTATGGGATTATATGGCCCCAAAGGATACGTGAACACGAATGCGATTGATAAAATTTAACAATCGGACTCACAAATTGATCTGAGCTGAACCACCATTAAATGCCTGGAAGCAATGTACGGCTGTTTCGTCCTAGTATGGGACTCCGAAGTAGTATCTACGGTCCTACATGCCGGCCCATTGGTTTGGAGGTCTAGCGTTCACGTGACACCGAAGGTCCTGAGTTCCAGTTCCGTGTGCGGAATCGTGGATGTGCAGTGCTGAGGAGTCCAGTACTAAGACAAAATGATCTTCTAGTACTTCCAGGTTTTCAATGGTCATCTAGCTTAGATAGAATCGTGAATCCAGCTGTGAGAATATTTCGATCTCCAGAAATCTTCATATTAAACAAAAATAAGAATTATAATAAGTAAAACTCAACAAAGATTCATCTTGCAAAAATAAACTAACTTCACATCGTTATTTCTTTCATTTAAAAATGACCTCACACGTTTTTTACAAGCGTAAATGTCTGTAATTTATATACAAAAAAACAAAGCAAGTTTCAACACTAGAGGGTAAATTAAAATAAGTAGTTTAATAATTCACTTCCTACGCTTACTGATCAATCAAGAATGTACAGTTTTTAATTCCTTAGTTAAAATTCATTGATTTCGTTTTATTGATTTAAATTACTAGTATCGATAGTTTGTTCGTATTCAATAGTTTATTTTTCATTATCTACATTGAAGTCGAATTCCCCCATTCAAACCCACATAATTTATTTGACATGAACTTCAAAATCATATTCAAATGGAAATATTCAAGATTAACATTGACTGAAAAATGCTGATTTTCGGTTATTAGATTGTAATGCTTTAACCGATAATATCTAAGGTTCACTGTAAAAAGTTTATTATAAAACTAATTAATGGAGTCAACTTTATGAATCAGAAATATACGTTAATTATGAATAAGTAACTTTTTATTTATTTCGAGTGAGGGTTAAAAAGCCTGCATCGGAAACTATTATCTCTGAACACGGTTAAAGTTAACATAAGCTGATATTTCAATAGTTGAAATCATGAGTCAATTGAAGTTAGACCACCATGGAAAACCTGGAAACACTGAACGACCATTTCGTCCCAGTATGAGACTCCTCAGTAGTGAGCACCCACGATTCCGCTCCCCGCGAGATTCGAACCCAAAACCTATCAGTCTTGCGCTGTCCCGTACTTCCAGGTTTTCCATGGTGGTCTAGCTTCAATTGACTAATAATTTCAACTAGTGAAATTTCTAAAATCTCCACAAAACCTCTTCTGATAATAAGCTGATATCAGTCAGTCAGTCAGTAACAACGTAGAACTTCGTACATATGTACATCAGTTCGAGTTGCCACACCACATTAGCACAGAGATGCAGTTGTCTATTATCCTGAAAAATGCTGTTTAAAGTATGAAAATTAATAAACTGTGCTAATAAACAGAATACCATATTTTCGATTAGATGATTATACAAATACTAATACTCTGCAGAATTTAATAGGCAATTTCTTTCAAATGGAAGCTCTATTATCTACATTTATTTTACATCAATAATAATTATTATAAATCAGTGATTTTAACCTTTTGATAAATTACATAATTAAAACATTGTCTAACCTTCATTTTCGTCATTTACATTCAATAATGATTTCAAGTATTCTAACAATATTGAATATTGTAATTGTTCAATTGTCGATTGCTGTTGAGTTTTATATTCATTATTTAATGTTTTTATTTTAATCTCTTCATGTATTCGATAATTCAAGAATAATATTACTAAGTGTATTGCAAAATGTTGTCCATTAATTAAATTGTTATTATTAATATTTATTTGTTCCGAATATTCTACTAATTGATTTTCAATTATTGTAATGAAATAATCATTAATTTTAGTCAATGCTAATTGTAAACCTGTTGAACAATTCATTACTGGTAGACGTATAATATCACAAGCTAATTCAAACCATACTTCTTGACTACATCCACATTTTTGATAATAATTCACATAATTACCAATTTCTTCTTCTAATTCAAATTTTGAAGTGATTTTCAATTGATGTTTTGTTGAACTGTTTGTTGATATATTAATATTACCGCTGTTATTATCATTATTGTTATTACTGTCACGATTTCTGTCAGTAATTGGTGACGTACATATATGAGATTGTTTTATGTTATTAAAACTAAATGGTTCAGGTAATAAACATCCACATGGCATATAACCAGATGGAAATAAATGATCCCAATAAACTCTTCGTTTGGTGTATAATTAATCAATATATTTGTTGGATTTTCATTTAATTTATCCACTAGTTCATAATCATGAAAAGATTCATCTTCTTCTAATCTTTGATTTTTTAACTCTTTAAAACGAATCCATATTCTAGAATATGAAAAACAACATATCATAGCTATTGTTCAGAATAAATGTAGTGAAAATTTTCAGTTATATATAACTGAACACCAATTAACAAAGTTATTATTTTTATTATCGCTTGATGATATGAGTAAAACAGTGTAAGTGGGAAGTATTTTCTCCAGAATGAAAATGTAAGTTTTGTAAAGTAAACCACTAAGATGAGAAGGTGTACAATTACTAATGTAAGTAGTTTTGCAACTTTTATTGTGTTTTAGATTTTTTACCCTAAAGTTTACTGTCTTTCCGAAAAATACCTTTCGTTTTGTCAAAGACTTAAGTTTCATGAACCATTTTATTTTAGAAAAATAATCTTGTTATAAGATAGTTATTTGTATATGTTAGTAACAAGGTTTAACGTTTAGTTACTTTAGCTTACTTATGTACACAAAATTCATTTGGAGTGAATAGTATGATTGTCTTCACAGTTAGGTACATTTGGATTTTGGTGTTAATTTGTTGATGGTCATCACTAGGAAACCCTGAATCTAAGTTTCTTGATTGGTGGTCAGCAGGGCTTACCTAAAGTCTTGAGGGGACCAATGATCCCTGGGTAATGTGTACCCATATCACCCAGATTCAAAATCTGATCCGTTACCATTGGGCTGCTATTGAACATTAACAGATCACTGAGTGGTATTCAACGGAACCTTTCAATTTCAGAACTATGGGATGCTCATTGTACTTTTGATACGTTCATTACTTGATTAACGCAGAAGTACGATATACAACTAACGGCACTCGAACGTACAAACCCCACAGTTGCAAATCAGAAGAAGCAGAAGAAGTGATTGATGGGTAGGAATCAAAATGTACAGAAAAACATATGTATTTACAGCTATTAGCGCTGGCCATAACATCACTATAATTCAGCCAATCAGGAGGAGAGCCTTGCTACCGTATAATCGTCTCATGCCACGTTGATATTCTAGAAAGCTTTATCATGTTCTGATGGGGTGGAATCTCTTTGACTGCTTTAGGGCCTCTGGAGGCCTCATCGCGCTTCTAGGATGCCGTCTCAACAACTATACAATCCAAAATATTTACATGCATGATACTAAGATGGACGAACTAAACTTCCATAAAATACTTTGACTGAAGACGACTATTATGATGCTTTATTCTGCAGGTTATGAACCAGAATTCTACCCAATAAGCATCATCAAATCTATTTATTGCTGATAGGCTGAATTCGCTCAAGACATCAGTAGGCAATGTAGATAATTTTTCACTATCTGATGATCAGTATTAAAACGACTTTAAGAATCACGTCTGTGAAATTTTCATTAAGCTGAATGAATTAGTATTACAGCGCATTTGATTAGGATAGTACATAGATGTTACTGAAATTCTTTTAAATGGAATATCTGTTCTTGGCTTTTTTTTAAAATGAGAAATATATTTCAGTCAATATGTAATATCTATAACTCATAACCACTGAGCAATGGTAGACTATGAAATAAATTGTCAATGATTAAATATGCGTTGAATTAACAATCAAAGTAGAATATTTCATTATGTGGATTTGTTAATGTTATCACTGAAAATGTTAATTTGCCAATCATTGAGATCATTTTACACTCAGTGAAGAAATGTTGATAAGAGAAAATTACACAAGTGTCAACTTACCTTTCTAGTGGTTCAGCCAATAGTTGCACTAATGCATCAAACCATAAAGGCCATTCTTTATGATCTAATAGTGTTCGACTTAATAATTTACATTTTTCTGATCTAAAAAAAGTATAAAAAAAGGATTGCAAATTGTTTCCTAAAAAGAAAATATAGATTTATAATACAGAAAATCGATATGTAGTAATGCTAAATATTTTTTATTTTCAATCTAAGTATGGAGATTATTCTGCACTGTGAATATAGGTATTAGACATGGTAAATGAATTAGTCTTTATTGACGGTTATTGTATCGAAAAAACCATATATATTCTGTCCTTAGATTTATTACAGCTAAGACAATGATTGTTATATTGACTTCTACAATTCATTATGAGAATTTTCGGAACCCAATAACAAGTCTAATCAATAGTTAATCATAAATAAAGATATACTGAAGAGCCAGTGAAAATCAGGAATCATTGAAAACCATTTTTCTTTTATTTAAGTACTAAATAAAATCGATTATTTTCAACCGTACGTGAGAAATAGCACAAAATCTGTAAGTCTTGTACTGAGTATTCTTACAATTTAACCACTCGACCATAATCCAACCATTTATGCCATCCGACTGAAATTCTCAAACCATATTGTACCGTCTTTAATTTCCTCAATTCTTAACTCGTCCTATCCTAAGACCAAACAGATATTGGATACTCGTTAGTTTAATCGTTTATAATGAAAATTTTGAAGATTTAAGTAGAAGAAATCTATGAAAATGATATGCAATGGTGTGCATACAAATTTATCCAGTTCACCAAAGTTATCTAAGATTTTGACACTAGTTTCTTTTGCCAGCGGCAGAAATTAAGATTTTGTTTAAATAGGAATGTTATTCAAAGCAAGCTCAAATTTCTTAAGTTAACTCATTTGAAAAATCCTACGAATCTAAGAAATACAAACATAAACTAATCCAATGTTCAATTACAAAGTTCTGATAACTACTAATTTGTTTTAGACAAACAAGTCAAAGTAAATTATTATTATTTAATGATAATCTTACCCTGCGATTATAACTAACTCCACAACTTTGCCTAAAAAATCTGTATATTCTGGTATTGCATCCAGTATACGAAGTATAGAGATGAACAGTTGTTTTGCCACAAGTTTCTCCTTATCTGTTAAAATATCAGTTGACTGATTTGCATACAATGTTTCAATTATTAAAAGACTTAATTTGTAATTCCAGGAAGTTAACAACTGTTGAATTTATATTGATTTGAGTAAAGAAAAACAAGAGTGAAATTTTGCATTATTCAAAATATTCTGATGAAAAAGTGCATAATACGATTGAAATGTATTACACACAAATTAATAAGTATGGAATTTATTATCAATGTGAGATTTATAAACACAATACTATCTCCTTGTTTATAATATGAGTTTTGATAGAGAAAGGTTACTGTTTATGAATCAAATTGAATATTTGAAGATCAGAACAAAAAATTACTACGGTAAGAAACATTCCTAATTCTGTAAGAAAATGATAAATACTTTAAAAGATGCTATTTGGTGAGATTCGATTCAGTCGATAAAAGTTTTTATTGAGATCATGAAGCGATCAATGTTAGACCACCATTGAAAACCTAAAAGTACTGGATAGTCGTTCTATTCTAGTATGGGACTCCTCAGTAGTGTACATCCACGATCCAAAGCGAGGACCCTCGGTATCGCGCCAACACTAAACATCTATATCCTATACTGATAATTATCATGTACTCTTTAGTGATCAGGTTCGAAAGGTAATTCTCTGAGTTTTCGTGAGAAGCCGTGACCAGTAGAGTTCAACTGTGTTAGGTGCGAAACTGTTGCCTATCTAATGCAATATCGTAGACCACTTGACGTTAGACGCCAACACCGTCGAATGCAGGCTCAATAGTCTAAATATTAGGCGTCCGCGTGCGAAAATGGAGGTCTCAGGTTCGAGTCCCGCTTGCAGGATCGTAGACGTACTGCCAGGAAGTCCCATGTCTGAATGGGATGGCCGTCCAGTACTCACAAGTTTCCAGTGGCGGGTTAACATTGGTCGGTTTATGGTCTCAATAGAAACTCAACAATCTCTACAACCCCATGCAATAAAAGATTGAAAAACTTGGGACCTGGTCTTGAAGTTACAGTTTAGATGAGAAAACGAGACAGAAAAGCTGTTTGTGCTTACTGTATCAAGGTTTAAAGATGATCAGAATTGCACCTATTGTTTGTGTATATTGATTTTAACCCAAATGAGTCAGATCATCAAAAGTGTGTTACCGAAATGTCTACAAAAAACGGCAAGTTAAATCTAAAAGAAACCCGTCACTAAATGAAGAAACTGTTAATGTAAATATAGAAAATTTAATGGCTTCTTTTTTTTGAAATAGTAATTGTTACTATTATGACAAACAAGCAACACCTGTTGACATTTACAAATAGTCTAAAACCAACAGTAATTTTCAGTGGCCTTTTTTGCGACGGTGGTAATAAGAAGCCGAATACGAATTGAATTGGATGGATTTATTTCGTGAACCCGTCCAATCAAGCAGACATTAAAACTGAAAAGCGAGAAAGCGAACCGGAGGACTAAGGATAATCTTTACTCTCGCTAGTAATTTTGACCTTGAACCTGATAGCCAACCAAAGTGGAGCGGTGATTAATACTTACACTATCGTAATCCATGACGAAGGGCGTGTTTCGTTCCCTGTAGTTTTCTACGGTGTGTAGCGCAGTTAGTCATAATGAAAACAAATTACAACATAGCAAAAGTTATACTTCCAATTAACTCTATACTAGGAACTATTGCAAAATATTTACAAATATGTGATTAAATAAACGAAAACATAACCACATTTACTAAGTACGATACACTTAGATGACTAAGTGGAGTTTGTCTCCAGCACAGGTATGCCAATTCCTTTTGGCAAGACGTGGCATAGGACTAGGCACTTCATTTTTTTTATTTGATAGTTTTTACAAAAGTTGCTTGAATTTTTTCTCCAACTTCTGTTTTTAAGGCTAACAGATTTTTGGGTTGTCCTGAAAAATCTTCAGTCGTTCTGATTATAATAAGAATATTGAGGAAATAGAGTGGTAAGTTTCGGTTTAATGGAATAATTCGTTTTCATTTGACATATCATCTTTACTATTAATAACGCTGATTAGCGCATCAGTATTCAGGCTAAGATTATATCATACATATATTTACTTGAGCAATGTCCCTTATGAAAAAAAATATTTGAGAACATGTTTTTTTTAGAAAATAATTTAGTCAGTGTCTTATATGTGTAAAAGTAATAAAACTAATTAGCCTATTTACTCATGTCTTTCGTTCGAGCAATATGATGTAAATGATTTCTGTGTTTCAAATGATTTTAGTTACAAACTTACACTAATAATTCTAACAGGATCAAAATGGCCTGATACGGAAAATAGTTCCACTTCTATTTCTAGTTCTGTTTGTCGTGGATTTTCTTTCCTAAAAATAAAAAAAAGCAAAATGGAAAAAAATTGTGTAAAGAAGCCAAATGTTCGCTTGTAAACTAGGAGTTTTTGAACTTAAAAGTTATTCATGAATTTCTAATTTAAATTTCATTAATTTAATCTCACAAGTATAGAGCTATTCTAATCAGTTATGAACCAGAATAGATTGTTTAAGGAATGATAGATTAATTTAATTTTACTGTCCTTCAAGATGATTTTATTCAAGCTACTGGAAAACTTGAAATTTAGAGGGGGAAAGGTGGTTAGAAGTACTTGGAGGGAAATTTTGAACTTAGGTTTCGTGATTGTCGACACTGGTCAATAAAGAGTACCTAAAATCTTAAACGAACTGATTATTCCTAAGTGATTCAGATTTACTTCGCCCAACTCCACAGTTTGGGGCTTTACGACTGAGCCATTTGATCAGTGACTGGTCTCCTGCAGGACTGAGATGTATACAACCAATTGACCACTCAGGTTTACTGAACGAAACCACAACCTGAAATATCACTGACATTAAAAAATCTCACTTCATGAAAATTGAGTTGAAAAGGAATACTACAGTCAAACTTCCGAAAAATCTAATGATGAAAACATTTTATGTCGCTAATCTTCGTATCACCTTCTCCAGTGGGCCTATCATTCATGGGTGTGTCAAAGAACAAATTCCGCTTTGGGCTTTTGTCGATCAGCTTACACGGGCTTTACGAAGTGAACACTTTCTAAATAAATCTCAGAGGATTAACCTCTGTGACTTTTAGAAAGAGTGTAAAACAATCAGTAGCTCAATACAGGAACATCTTATCAACTCTAAGTGCTTTGGCCTACAAAAACCATTCTTCAAAATTATTTGCACTGTTTAGCTAGTGGGATGGAATACGTGTGCATTGCTGATGATTTGGGAACTCACCGATTCAACCCTGAACTTTATATACAGGACAATAAGTCCAATCTCTAATACTTACCTGTTCCTAACACTTTCCGCTACGTTGTTTTACCTTTATTATTATTTTGTACTTTTTAAAGATAATAACCAGTTATAATTATTGTCGAAAGATTTTTCATGATTATTATTCAGTCAGTATAGGGGAATTTGTGGAGATTGTAGAATTTTCATAATTTAAATTAAGAACTGGTCTTTAGGTAGGCCACAAGTGAGAACCGGTTAACATTAGACGGTTGCTTAATCATGGCGTACGACCATTCAATAGTGTGGATTTACAATGCCGCATCCAAGAATCAAACCCATGACCTTCATTCTTGCTCACGAACGCTTAACCTCTAGTTCACTGAGTCAGCATTCAACGACGTTAATGTCTAACTTCTATCAGTACACGATATTGTGCAACTTCTGTTCATTGTCTGTGGTAGATAATTGTCGTAGTTGTTATTATAACCTTTTTTTCACATCATATATATTCAACAAATAATTATCTCTCATATTTTTGACCCATGAATAATATTCATCCTCTTCCTGACAGTGTTACGTATGTCTGAACACCGATAACCACCCCGCGCAATTCTGACTAGTGTTGGGAATGGTTTGAAAAAAGTTAGAGGCGGCCAAACCAAAAACGTGGCATCAGTGCTTGAAGTCACTAACTTCTAGTCTTATCCATGTCGGTAGATGCAGACTACTTGATTGAGGTCCGCGTGACTATCGTAACCAATGGTTAGAAACTCTGTGTGACATGGCCGAGAATCGATCACAATGTCGTAGGTGTATTCACTCTTTTTCTTCCCTTAAACTATAAGATTAAAATTATGTCATATCTTTCTTTCTGTAGTATATCCTTGCATAAAATATTTCCTTTATATATTACACCACTGAGTTAATTGTTTCTATGAATCTGGTGTTCGTCTTGGACCGATGCATGTATGTGCCTGGTCCTACGTAGTAACTGACTGACTAACTGATTGATTCATCCTCTTATTCTTCTTTAACTTCTCGAGAATTATGTAGTCTTTGTTTTTTTAGCAAAAAAAATATTATTGTAAATTAATAATAAATAGAAACCAAACAACACAGTAATACTTACATTAAATGTATTGGAATGTCATGGAATCGAGTAGAATCAACAATCGCTAACCAATTTGATAAACTGAAATCAAATGTCTTATTTGTATTTTCTACTATATAACTGTAAAATCCTTTTTCATGAAGTCTATAATTTGAAGAGAGAAAAAATAATGATGCAAATAATCTAAATTAGATTTTTCATCTATCAAAATATAATGGATACACATAAAAATGAGATGAGGTATACTATTAACTTAATAATGAATAGGTAAGTATTATTTGTAGATTTTACTTATTAAACTACAGATTTAAAAGTTTGGTGAATGTTATTTATAACTATCTTTATTTGTCTTACATTGTGAATTTTATTAAAAGTTTACAAAACTATTCATGAAAATAAATGTGTATTTCTTATCAGTAGCATAATTTTAAGTGAGGAACCTTAAAACAAAATGAATAATCAGAAGGGGTTTTGTGGATGCACACCGTTGAGGAGTCCCACACTAGAACAAAACGGCCGTCCATTGCTTCCAGGTTTTCCATGGTAGTCTAGTTTTAATTGACTCATGATTTCAACTATTGAAAATGAATAATATCACAAATTGGTTTTGTTTAAAGAATTTCCTATTTAAAGTGTATAAAGTTAGAGATCATAATATATTAAGTTTATATTTTGGAGCAAAAAATGACCGAGGAGATGAAATTTAGCACAAATTATGTAGCTCACTGAAGGTCTCTTGAAAATGAACAAAAATTAAACATTGTGAATATTTAGATAAGAAATATCACATTCAGGTTTAGTTATTCAGTTTCTATATGAATTCAATATGAAATCAATGTGATTAGTGGCTTTTGTTAGAAAAAAGATTTTTATGACATCAAGATATGGTTAGAGACCGGACAATAGTTTCTGTGTCATTTCATCTTTACTTTTAAAATGTCTCACCATAGACATCAAATTTTCAAAGAATCAACACAATTTGTTTCAGATTCTCCCATCTTCGAATTCTAACTTCATTAACAAATAAATATATTCGCTAACACATTATCAAAATAGTAACTGTTTAAAATTAACTTCATCTGATTTCTTTTAATTGAATTTAGATAAATAATCGATAATGGTTCGAGTCTGTTTACAGAATAAACTAGCACGGTATCAAATGGAAATCTGTTTAAGAATAAAAGTAAGTGTCAATTAATTAGGCTTCTCAAGTTTAATTTGTTTTTTGGAAGCAGCTTTCAATTGCGAGGTATCATTTATCATATGGCATGAAACTCATGATAAGAATAATGACAGTAATAATCTCAGTTGCATTTGGTTAATTACTCTTCAGTTCTCGCATCCTCACTAGGCTGTAACCTTATTCAAACAATATGTTTCTGATGTGTGGGCGCGAGACTCCACCCCTGGCTCTTCTTGAGTTACGGCCGGTCATAAGCTTGGGTAAAGAAGGAGGGCTGGGTATGGGGTCAGCAGTCCCATCCCGTAGGAAATAACCTTGCTAATAATACGATAACCAGAATAAACAACTTAAACTATTTAAACTCTGCCCTTCGAATGGAAGGATCTTCATTCAGGAGAATTATGACGCCTCAGGATGAAAGTCGAGATTCTTCACACGTCACAACGTCGATGCCAATTCTAACAACCAGAGCAACAACTCTCGTACGTATATGGAATGTTCGGACAATGTGGGGGCCTGGGAGGACCAGTCAAATAGCAACAGAAACAAGGAGAAACAACTTTACGGTCTAGGAATAAGTGAAACCCACTGGACCTAAGCTGGATATCAAGGGCTAGATACGAGAGAGATGCTGCTACACTCCGGTCACGAAGAGGAAAATACTCCATACACTCAGGGACTTTCTCTGATGCTGTCTAAAGAAGCACGTAATCCACCCATAGGATGAGGATCTCATGGATCCAGGATCATCAAAGCATCCTTCAAAACAGAGAAGAAGTGAATCACGATGAATGTTACCCAATGTTATGCACCCACCAATGAAAGCAATGACAACGATAAAGTTCAATTTTACGAGACACTGTAATCGTTCATGGAGAAGTTCTCCGGAAAGGTCCTGACCATCCTGATGGGAGATCTAAACGCCAAAGTCGGAATGGATAACACTGGGTGTGAAGATATCACGAGAAGACATGAACTGACTGAGAGAAAAGAATGAAAATGGGGAGAGATCTTCAAATATACATGCATCCAACAAGATGGTTATAGGTGGCACAATATTCCCCGAAAAACGCATACACAAAGCTACATGGGTCTCACCGGATCACATTACGGATAATCAGATCGATCATATTTGCATCAGTAAAATATTCACAAGGCCAATGTATGACGTGAGAACCAGGAGAAAGGCTGACAGAGATTTAGATTATCACCTGTTGGTTGCCAAGACGAAACTGAAGCTAGAGAAGCATTAGACAACTGGACAAACAGCATTAAAATGTTTCAATACAGCATCCCTTCGAGCTACTGACAAACTCAACGAATTCAAGATAACTCTCAACAATAGTCCAAAGCTTTATAGGATCTACTCTCAGAAGAAGAAACTGCTACGGACGACAATTGAAAGGGGATTAAAGAAGCACTAACTTCAACGTGTCGCATTAGAAGCGACAATCAGAAATACGTGGAAGAGCTAGCAACGATAGCGGAAAAAGGTGCAACAGAAGGAAATATGAAGCAAATATATGACGCGACGAAAAAACTGGCAAGCAAATACAGTAAACCACAAGGACTGATCAAGGACAAGGAAGGTAAGACAGTCACTGAGATTCAAGAACAGAGGAACAGGTGGATGGGATAATTTGAAAAAGTCTTGAATAGATCAGCTCCACTGAATCCACCAGACATCGGAGCAGCACCTAAAGACCTTTCAACAGATATCACCCCCACCAACGACGGAAGAAATCAGAATGGTTATCAGGTGAATCAAGAGTGGGAAAACAGAAGGACCTGATAGTAAACCAGTTGAAGCTCTGAAGTCAGGCATAGAAGTAACTGCAGGTGTGCTTTACGTTTTATTCATGAAAATTCGGGAGGACGAACAAGTGCCACCAACACACTCGGAAGAAGGACAACTCATCAAGATACCAAAGAAAGGAGATCTGAGATAATGTGAGAACTACAGAGAAATCACACTACTGCCAGCACCAGAAAAAGTTTTCAACAGAGTGTTGCTGAACCGCATGAAAGATTCAGTAGACGCTCAACTTCAAGATCAATAAAACTGATTCCGTAGTGATCGGTCGTGTACAGACCACATCGCGATACTACAGACCACTGTCGAACGATCAGTTGAGCAGAATTCATCACTATGCATCAGCCTTATTGGCCATGAGAAGGAATTTGACAGTGTGGATAGCAGGATATTATGAAACCTTCTTCAACACTATGGAGTACCTGAAAAAATCGTCAGCACCATCCGGAATACATACGACGGACTACACTGCAAAGTAGTGCATGGAGGACAGCTGATAGACGCATTCCAAGTAAGAACCGAAGTCAGACAACGCTGCTTACTTCCCCCCTTCCTCTTTATTCTAATGGTTGACTGGATTGTGAAGACATCCACATCTCAAAAAAAGCACGGAATGCAATCGACAGTTTGGACACAACTAGATGATTTGGACTTTACAGACCACCTAACTCTTCTATCCCCCACACACCAACAATACAAGTAAAAACAGACAATGTAGCAGCAGCCTCTGAATCAGTAAACCTCAACATGCACAAGAGGTAAAGTAAGATCCACAAATACAACATAAAGTGCATTAATCAACCCAATCACACTTGATGGAGAAACTTTGGAAGAGGTGGAAAGTTTTACGTCCCTGAACAGCACCATTAAGAAATAATTTGGATCGGATGTAGACATGAAGGCGAGAATTGGCAAAGTAGGGACAGCATTCCAACGGTTGAAGAACATATGGAACTCGAAATAACTGTCTACCAATACCAAAGTGAGAATCTTCAAATGAACGTCAATGCAGTTCTACTGTACGGAGCTGAAACTTGGAGAACTATCACAACCACAATCAAAAAGTCACAAGTATTTACAAACAATTGTCTACGTAAGATGTTGAATGTCCGTTGACCGGATACCATGAGCAAAAGCCTTTTATGGGAGATAACAAACGAAATTCCAACTGAGGAGAAAATTATGAAAAGATGTTGGAAGTGGATAGGGAACACACTGAGGAAATAATCAAACTGCATCACGAAGTAAGCACTAACTTGGAATTCTGGAGGGAAACGGAGAAGATGAGTGCCAAAGAACACACTGCACCGAGAATAGGAAGCAGACATGAATAGGATGAATAGCAACTGGAAACAACGGGAAAGGATTGCCAAAGACAGAGTTGAGAGGTGAATGCTGGTGGGCGGTCTATGCTCTTCGACGAGGGGTAACGGGCGTAAGTAAGTGTGGGCGAGAAAAGTAGTGATTAGTTATTTACCTAATCAAACTAGGTATTAGATGTGATATATATTTCCCTTTATTATTGTTTTTATTGTCGGTTGTTGACATGGTGATATACCCTCGTTCTAGTCAGGTCAGTCACATGTTATTGATTAGAGTTGTGTTGACGTCCTGTAGAACAAACACTCGCAAGGTATCTAGTGTAGGTATTTGTCTAAGACAAATCACTGTCCTGTTGGTGTAAAAGAGAAAATCAAGAGTTATTTGGGTTTAAAATTAGTTACAACCTCAGACTAGAGATAAAATTTCACTAAAATATGTTGTAGGGCACGCTGATTTTTAGTAGATCACTACATGCTTCTAAAAATTGAATAGCCACGGTAAGTAATTTAATATTGTTTAATAATTTAATAATGTTAGATGTTATCGATCATGAACGACAGTAATCATCACTGGATGATAATTTCTGGAAATAACATTTTGATTACTTACTTTTCCCACAAATGTCTTGGAGTATAACACGATAATAGCATTTGAGTAGTTAGTAGACCTGTTGTATGAATTGTATTCAACTCAATTGATAGATTACCTACACCTAGTACTTCAGATATTGTTTCAGCTGATCGATAAAGCGCGAATTTCGCAATAGCAAGAATTAGCCATAGTTCATCTCTAAAATGAAATAAAAAGTACAAATTTTTCTTGTTTGATATAAGAACTATGATAAAAAACTAGTTCTGATTATAGCGACAGCCAAAAAGTCAACAGTTTACTCAATAAAATTTAGGTCTTTTCATATTTTGTATTGTTGTTATTTAACGTTATGATATTAAGTTCGACACAACCAATAGCTTGAATTTGATTCTTTATATTTTTTAGTTTACGTTGGAAGTTTAAATTCGCAGTTAATTAATGATATAACTGAACGGACTGATATTAAATAAATTGCACTAAATAACGCTAACAAACAATGAATAACGACTACTCCAGTCAGTCCGAACACTTTGTGAAAATACAACCATTCTAGATAGATTCACGCTGATCAGTTCAGTAATAGAATAAATGCTTCCAGAATATTGAATCTAAGGTCTCAGGTGAACAGTTGCATGCTGTATGAACAAAATGCCCTGTACAAGATTGCTGGACTGTTTAAAAATATTTTATGAAAATATGATTCTACTTATAAGTAGTTGGATTTTTTCTTTACACGTGGAGACTATTCTGCGACAGGATCACCAATATGGGGTAAAATTACAAGTCAGTGAGTTACATGCTTCTTAGGCTTCTGTTCGTTTACTAATAACGAACCTAAAGATAGCAGATTTATAGAAACCTTTATCATTCTACAGTGCTATTTCATGAGCTGACCATCTCTTCCCTTTTTTAACTAAGCCTCAGGGTTGTCAAATAGTATGTGATATGAACGGTTAGTCAGTTGTGACAAGAAAAGACGATGATATTTGTTCTAACTATTTCTAGTAGTGCTGTATTTTATTAGATCGGCGGTTAGCTAAAAATCCTGTTGAGTGTCTAGATGGTTTAATACTCATATCAATATCAATTCGCGATTAAAAGCACTGAAGAAATTTAATCAAAAACTTCATAAGATCAGTTATATCAGTCATTCGGTAATTACTGAAGTTAACATTTACAATTCATAAATCATTTAAATAATTACTTACCTAAACTGTATAGAAAAATCTAAACCTGAATTTATTTTAGAAACATCAAGTTGTTGTACTGCAGACTCTAAGAGTTTTGAACTAACATGTGCCATAATCTGTCTACTTAAACCTCCAGGACATGTTTGAATTAATATTGACCACATATTAGACAAAATACACCATATTGATTGAATAGGTTTACTTAAGTGTTTAATATCTGATTGAGCGCCTAATATTGATTGATTTGATCGCAATTTAAATTGGTCTGGCAACAACAGTAATTTGATTTTGTTTAAGTAACTTAAATCTTCTTCAATTGTGAAACCAATATTATAATAATATACTAAACTGATGTCGGTGATTTGTTCACTCAATAAACGTATTGATACATCGTATTCTTTTGCACATCCAAAGAAGAGGGATGTTCTATAGAAGAAAAGAAAAATCGAAATGAACGTAATATACAAAAAAGTACACAACTAGTTTGGGTTGGTTGATATTTGTTAGATAATTGTTTAACTTCATTTCAAGTTGAAATCTAGAACCACAGGTTCTGTGGCCAATAACTCAAAATTTCGTATTTTCATTATGAATTAACTCAAAATATAGCTAGACATTGTTCTTCGACTTCCTTTGTATTATTGCTGACTTATATCGTGTTTGTGGTGGGTAGATTTAGCTTTTTATTGGAATGTGAGATCACGGGTAGTGTGAACCGAATCTATAAAGTAATTAGGACTGACAAAGTTTAATCTCTGAAATCAGTTACAGTAACTTTGATGAATGACTTGAAAGTCACAAAGTCCAAGTACCTTAGGGATGATTTTAATAGTTGGGTTACAGATACATAATGACTTGTTCTGAAACAAAAAGACGACAGCTTACTAATACTCTTTGACTTTTATTATCAATCAGACAATATCAGTTAGTGATATAAATAGTCAAATGATCAAATTAATATTGAACCAAAGTCTGTAAAAGTTAGTATCACATTGTGATGAAGATACACTTAATCAATCACTATCAAGCTCTCTATGTATTAACGTAATTTCATAAATCATACTGAAAACAATGGCATTTTATGATCGATTGATCTTTAAGTAAAAATCAATGTTGTATGTGTTTAGTCCTTTATTGTTGGTCGAATTCGATCGATTAAGTTGCAATGTGGCCATAACTACAAGTGACTCAATATCATGTTAACGATAGGTGGTTGAAACTATTTTAGTTGTTGAGCTGTCAGATATCGTGTTTTACTGCTTCTAGGCAGATCTTCAGTGTGCCAAGAATAGAGTAGTAGAATTCCGAGATATATAAATAATATACTACTGAAGGTTTCTTTCACGAAACGAGTGTAAGAACAATGTTTAAAAAACTCAGTTATATGTCAGATGATAATTTTCATGTATATGAAGACTAAAAATACAAGCCGTCCATTGATGCTTTGAAATTTTGACAAATTGTTAAAGCATTTTAGTGATAGACCTTTCAGTTCATAGAACAGTTTTATAGACAGTTTTTGAGAGTTGTATATTGAGTATATGGGATGGCTGGCAAATACTAACTGAACCCAAAATGAATGTAGATAGATTATTTAAATACAGTACTACTTACAGATGTATAGACCAAGAGGTAATAATATTGATAATCAGTGAGTAATTAATTCACTTAATAGCGTAATAATAATTCTATATCATTGGTATGCAATTATGTAGCTCCTCAAGAAGTTGAACTTAACCAACTATTAAAATCCCACTAGAAATTAAGGAATCTTTCTCGACTTCCACTTAACAGTTAGCTTATCACTGGAATCAGTTTTACTTAAACGAGACACCAATCAATCTTGGATCCAGGTTTTGAACTATTTGGCGCTCATTACGTTTAAGGTTTGAACAGAACTATTATCAACATCCTTAAAATAAACTGTTGGATTTGAAACAGATGGCCTTTTCAGACTGCATTTAGTAGAAATGTTAGTATTCACGAATTAAATATTCTTGAATGAATTCATCCAGTAAGTTGATGCTACTGAATTCCCGGACAAACTTTATAAATTCCAAATGTGTACATACGTATTAATATATTGATCAGCAGCTAGAACTCTATTGAAAGAATTAACTAATGCTCAGGAAACACTTAACTTAGGAATGAATTCTTTTTATAAATCTTACTGGTTAGTCTAACAGCCTACAGTATAATTACTTTAAATCCCTTCCTATCAGAAAGTTTACCAAACTTGAAACTTACACATTATGCTGTCCATTAAACTTGAAAGATTTAACTGGAGACTCATTTTCTCTATCAAATATTGATGCCAACAAGCTACACAATGCACGTAGACTTAAACAATCTGAAATACATAGAGCTAATTTTTCAATCCCACTTAAGTCCCAGTCAACAGATAGTGTAATTGTACTCAGTTGTGCAGTTAAACCGACAAATTCCATAGTATCATTTTTATTTTCATTATTTTCCGTAGCAGAGTTGTCAGTGATATCAACATTGAATGACTTATTTAATCCATGTCCATTTAAAATAGTAAGTAAAACATTGATCACTTCAGAAATCAATAGTCTCAGACTATCATCATATAAATTATCTGTATACTCCCTGTTGTTTAAATCATCATAGAATTTCTCAGAATTATTGTTTGAATTTTCCCGGTTGTTTGACTGAGATTTGGACTGTTGTTCATTGACATCAATTTGTAATAAATTCAGTATCATAGGTAGAAGAATTTCAAGATTGAATGCGATGAAAGCTTGTAAAGACTGATTATAAGTTAAAACAGAAAGAAAAATGAATAACTCAGTTAAATAATCTACAATGACAGTAAACTTTATCCATAAATTCAAACAATTAGTTATTTTGATGACATTATGGATGCACAGATTAAGATTTTGTCTTATGCAAAACTTTCTGACTGACAATTGTTTTTCTAATCAAGTTGATTATCTTTATCTGGACAATGTTTACGAGTTAATGGATATGTATAGATGACAGTTACTAGCTTACAACTGAAAGTTGGGAACCAGAACTTCGGACAAGCGAACATTCAAATTTGGATAAAATCACACAGGAAATAAATGATAGACATAAAGTGAGTAAAAAATTGTTTATAGGTTATATTGAAGTTTCATAGTCTAGATAAACTTTTTCAATTATAGGAGGATATCATCTATGATGGGGGTTATTTCTAATAATAACACTGAAACCACTTTGTGCAAACTCAAGACTAGGTGATTATTTTTATTTGAAAACATTACATACCTTACTAATATAAATTTTAGGCATAGGTAAACCTGCTCCTGTTCCAACAGCACCATTCCATGAACACAACATATTTTGCGTTGTGAAACTGGGATTGAATTGTTCGTCGAGTATATTTTGGTTTTATGATACCAAAAATCACTAAAACATAAATCCGCTGGATTGAATAACTGTCCATGTACTGATGTAGCAAATACTGGGGTTTGCAAAAGTATATTTAAACAGTTATAATATTCAATATTCAGATTATTTCCGCATTGATTTGAATCTTTTTTACTACTATTCATAATGTCGATCGCAGTTGGATTACATCCTAATTGTAATTGACTGGCATAATCTTGTAGAGTTTGTAATGTTGCGTGAATTAAACATTTCATTAACGATTTATTCATCGTATAAACTGGTTCCCATAGAATTGTTTCTGTTTCTTTAGAAATGTTCATTTTCTCTAGAAGTGACAGGTAAGACATAAGACGATATAGTAAAAAATATTCAATTAGTGAACATGAATCTTACGTGCAAAATTGGTGTAGCTTTGTTCGAAATATACCTAGGTATTTGTGATACATAATTTTTATTAGTTATTTCGTGTCCTCCTGAAATCCAACATTTCAAAGTCCTATAAATCAAGCTCTGACCAAATTATAAATAGAGCTAACTAGGGACTCTAAAAGGAATATTCCTTTGATAACGCAAATAGTGGTGAATCTTTATATAAATAAAGTTTCGTTCCAACTCAGTGAAGTAAATAAATTGGAATTATGAGGCTAAACTTTATCAAATAATATTCAAGTTCATTTCAGTGAGGTTCATTTTATTGACTTGGAGGTCAGAAATTAAGGCACATTATCAATATTTGATGCCTCTTCTTAGTTGATGACTCCAATGAAATTCAAAAGATATTTTATAACTGATTTCGATCTACTTATAAGTAACTTAAGTCTATATCATGACTTTATTATGAAGGAAATTCGGGGTAACAGGCGTTATTGTAGCATGGAGTAGACTTATTTCATTCATCTAAAGCATACACCTGGGGAAACCTGCATTCATATCATGAATTTACGTTATAATCATGTACAGGCCTATATTAGAGCTGATTAGAGGTCAAGCAATCATGTGACAATTAAATGTATCATATTAACCCTACTAACTAGTTAGTATTTACTCATATGATTAATTATGAGGTTTTATTCATGTGTACATTCTACGTACATATGATTATTAATATGTTTTTCTGTCATGCTGCACCAACCGTCTGGAATATGTAGGCTCACTCAACGATTCATACAACGATCAACACATACTATATAAAGTAAACCGCACACCAGCAAATAATTCATTCATATTCGCTCTCGGTATGGTTTGTTGATTAGAGCACTTGAAATGTAATATTCTCTATCACTTCCTGCTTTAAATTTTCTGTTTTAATGCTGGTAACAACTGTTATGTCAAGTTCGGTCGAGTCGACCAATGGTGTGAGGTTACACTGGATAATTGAGCATTGGATTGAAATCAAATCTACTTAGGAGTGAGAGACAGCATTTTGAAAAACATCGATTATTTTGTAGGATACAAATGTACTTTCGAGATGGAAAATTGTTGTCTCACCTGGAATTATTGATGTATCACCTGATTTTTTCAATGCACCTACAAGAACAACAATCGTATTAGTAATATTACTTCATCTGTCTTGTTAATGGTGTGTTCTTCAAAAGCATAAACCTATTCATGAATATTAGTTAAAAATGGCACACAGTTTAGATAAGCCTTATTACACCCAACCAAAATATTGCATAGCACCGTGGAATAGTTATAAACTAAAATAAGATATAGTGAAGGAGAATAACGAAGTGAATGCGTCAACAATATCTTTATGTGAACAGAGTTAATCAGCTAAGATATGCTCAAGACCGTAAGCCAATAACACGAATTGAAAAGAACGGTAAATCACTTTGTATATAAAACCCGGGACCCCTTGTGTTGATGAATAAAGTTTTAGTAAAGCATTAAAAATGAAAATTCCAGGTGTTTGGTGGATTTCGTTGCACTTAATATACGACTTTGGTCTAAAAGTTCCTCACAAATAAATGATTAGTTTTGATCCAACTTTTTGCCCTAGCACTTCTTGAAGACAAATTGCACCATTCCACAGCTACATGGAATGGCATTTATAATCTTTTGAACAGACCGAATATCTAGTATAAAGTATATCTTACCTTATACGAGTATATAAACCTTATACATCCTTTCAAGCTACAAGGTTGTTGAAAAATACTCTAACATCCTTTATATGAATGTATACATTGCATGAAGTTCACAAATTTGAGGGTATTAAAGGAAGTGACATAAAACAGACGTTTGGCTTTTCATAATTGCTAGTAAATTGTTTGATGTCTTTGGGATTACATAGTAAGGAGATCCAAACAAATCAAAATCTGAGCAAAGAGGTGAGTCAGATCTGTCAACTTCGAATAGCAAGCACAATTAGATGTTCCTTTGCCATTTTGTTTATCACAAATCCTATTTACATACATAACATCATTTTTTAAAATCAGATTGGTTTATCTTAACACTAAATCTCTACGGCAAACATTTACTTTCTTACCGACTTCTACGTAAGTGGGCTTCTATGGTGTTCTGAAAGATAATGACAACTCTGCGATCAAACCATCCAACTTGGATAACTCTCCACCATCAAAACTTTGTGATCTTCCGAAAGCACTGCTGAGCAACGTAAACTGTCTCAAATAAAACTAATCGAGAAACTCTAAAATTGCACAGCTATTTAAAAAGCTCGTCGAACGAAGTAATAAGTTGCTGTAGCCTAAATGTATAAAAAAATGAGGTGATGAAAAAGGAATGGTTTTGGTGCAAATAAAAGTTAAGTTTGATTCCATTCACCGCATAAATTTTGCTATATAGCTGTTTGACTAGATAAATCAGGTTTATACTAGTATTTCAGTCTGTCAATCATCTGGTCAGTTCATTTTCCACGAGTCATGGTATGTGATACTGAATATGTAGTTATTGTTGCAATGAGTAAAAATATGCCCATATTTTGTTTTCATGGGTGCTGGAGACAGAATCTGACGAACTAGGTAAAAGAAACTTGGCCAGCAGTCGAATATTGTAGCTTTTAGTGTGAAAACATAAAGAAGCAATTCCGAGAACCATCTGGGCTGGAGTGTGATGTATTTATACTTTCCGTTCTATGCCATTGGCCAAATTGTAGAGGGCCACAAAGTACTTTTTGTTAAAATTTGTGTCATACTGATAGTTAAGTATTCTTGGAATTAACGTCTCTAGCATGTTCCTTATTATTTAAAGTGTGAATAAAATGCAATCAAAATCTTTGGCAATATACTGGCTTACTTTTAGGTTTATGGGACTGAACAGAGCTAGAAGAGTGACACCTCGTATCCAAAGTGTATTCATGTGATTGATCATAAAAGAAAAACGAATCAAAAAAGCTCAAATCAAAGATTGTACCAAGATTTGATTTTGGACTTTCGAATTGTTCACCCAACAGGTCGCTTGAATTATCACTAAGTGATGTTTCCCTATGAATATCTGTTTTGGCAGAATCTAGTTGAGTTAAAAGATTTAGCTGAATTATTTTCAGTTGTTTTGATACATTGGACCATATCTTTAAAATTTCATTGATGTTACGTAATTCTTGTAAAGAAAGCCTTCCAAAATCATCACCTAGTAGTTTCTGAAAATGATATAAAATAACCTGTTAAAGATTCAAAACACATAACCATGAAACTGAATCTAATGAACCCAGAATTGAAAACGTTTATCGGCCGAAGAGATCAAATTTCCATTATGTAGGATTAAAAACCACGTGCAGTTGTGTAAAACATCACTAATCATTAGGACGATCGTGCACTTTTTGGAAATTAATTTAAATCTGTTCGGCAGAAAAATGAACACCGACACATTTTAGAACTTAATAGTAATCATTTGTCTAACAATGAATGGTTATGAAAATAGCTCCCATAAGCTTTGATATTCGACTAAAACCTTATATTTCGTTAAATTACATAGAAATTGTGGGTGACATATTTTACAAGTTATCGTCTTCTTTGATACAGTAACGATTTCAAAGTTCATAACTTCTAAGTTAAAAGTAAATAAGCACACAATTCTCGCCACATACAGTTTTGTTGACGAAAACAAACGTAGTGACATATACATATAAGAGTTATTACATTATATCAGTTTCCATGAATGAAAATATAAGGAGCACATAACCTGGAGAAACAATTAAATTCCTCCTACTGGATTATTATATGAAAACTAATGACTATATTAATCACGTCATCAAGTCGTTGTTGCTAATCAGAGTGTAGCTACAAAAGGGTGCGTGATTGAAAACAAAAATTGGCTTGTCAAATCAACTGCGTTTGACTATAACTACTCTGCACTACGTGGTCAATGAGAAAGTGAACGTGACATGAAGAAGAGTCAATGATTCAAAACCTTAACTTTTCAGCTCAGTCATAAGCATAAAGTACTGCAGCCATTTTAGAACTCGATGTTCTCAAATTGAAACTGAAATAGGTTTTAAATTACATACACATCGCATTACTCACTTGAATATATAATTGTGACAGTATTACTTTGGAATGAGTGACTTTTGACCACTTTCTAAGATAAATTATCATAGTATGCAGAAGGCTAAAGCCTGACGACGAGTAGAAATCATCCAGAAGACAAAACAGAACATTTACGTAATCTTTCCACCAAGAAAGCATCTCACAAAGAGTGATGTTTGAGTTATCCTGAAAAATATACTCCTGAAGAAATTTTTCCGTATCTGAAAGACATTTCTAAGTAAAACGTTACTAGTATCGAGGTTTAAAACTAACGGATACAGACTTTTCTTCCCTTTCTGCAAACAAAAGGTCAGCTATTTGTCTTCTGTATTTTCTAAAATTGTCAATATTGTACGTATGCTGTTGGATGAGCAAAAGCCGTTTATGTATATCCGCCAGCAAATTATCATAAGCAGCATTCAGTTCTTTGCTTTCCATGCATTCCAATTTCGGCCGAAAGTTGTGCATATTTATATGCATTAAAAAGTAAATGACTCCATTGTATTTTTCAGCAAAAGCATCATATGAGTTCACCTCGCTGAGCTCCAGATCCTTTACCTGCAGAATACATTACGAATATGTCGCTTACCAGTAATGAAAAAGACTTTTTGATTTCATTAACAGAAAGCATTAAGGAATGATTAGTGTTTACATCTAACAATTCCTCTGGAGGAGGATTGTTTTTGTGAGTTACTCCAGAACATATTGAAGCCCTTAAACAATAGCTTGTGAAAAAACTGGTTACTTAAGTTTATATTCATCTCTTTCTTTACCAATGAAATTTGCAAGTTTGTTCATCCGGTAAATAACGGAATACATTTTGTTGCCAATACATAGAAGAGGCCAGTACAATAAAAAGGCACACTAAAACAAACCAAGGGTTTAAATGGTTCTTAGAGAGATTCAATTGTTATGGTTCATAAATTAATATTGCGAAAAAGTTAATCCTTCTAATTATTGACATCTGCAAAAGAAAAGTAGCTAAAAAAGGTTTTCTGGATGTGTCCAAGGTAGTGGTGATCTGTTATGACGGAACTGCTCTTGCATTTAACCAGTTGTATTTTGTCGAATTCGTCCGTGAAATCCTTATAGTTGTACATTTTCGATTTGTTTGTATGCAACAGAACTGTCTGGAGATATTTCATACTTTTCCTTAATTTTTAAGCGCACTTACGGATCTCAAAATGTTGGTCTGGTTGTCATAATATGTCTTCGTATTTTGCGTAGTTGGTCCTTCTGAATCAGCTCATCTATTCTGACTGCCATATCACGGTTAGAAATAAGTGTTGTCCGTGGATAGTAAGTATGTAAAGCACAAACAATGGTATCAGAAACAACCGAATTTAGTTCTGTTGATATCCCACGTCCTACGATAGACAAAAGTGAATGATACTTAGTGAGGAAAGTCTTAGGATAAAGAGGGCTTTTTTAACGTAAATAATCTGTGAGTGCCAAGTGACAGTAGTCAGAAATTCGGCCAATGTTGGTTTTGTGCTGGTATTTCATATCACTCGGTTCACATGCTTTTGTTATACCTGTGAACCACCAACCTTGGTGATCTGTGCCGATAATCGGGGTTTGCCCAGATTCTAACCTCCAGGCGTACGCTACGCGGTCAATACTTTATACGAGTTACTCTCTCATAGTAACCGAAATCCGTAGCGACTTTGTTGAACATACTGAATAAACATTGTGTTATTGAAGAGAAGTATTCATTAGAATAGGTTGAAGAAACACATTGCGAACAATGCCGCATGAACCATTTCATGGCATGCAGTTGGCCAATATGATCTGGTTGTCCTTACATTGAATAGGCTCAGTCAATTGTTCGTTTCCAGTAACCTGCCTTTTGGATGATTCGGCTATTGCTCAGTTGCCCTTCATTGGCCCTATATATCTATAGGGTGAGAACTTGATGATCAAGTACTTGTGCTGAAAACAGAATGATTTGTTTAATACCAAGTGACAGCGCCTGCATGACCGACTCTTATATTCCTAATTAAGTGTTCCCGCATTCACCTTATATGATTTCCGCCAAGTTTTCAACGGCTAACGTAAGTTCAAATTCAACAATCATGTTGTCAGAGAACAGTTTAATTCATCCTACGTTATAAATCAGCGCATCTCCAAAGACTTTTTAGAACTAGCTTAGAGTCTTTAAATGCTTATTTAATAGTTAATTGAGAGATAGACTGTATTGGTTTTGTACAAACTCCTTGGCTGTCTATGTCTGAACAATCGATTTATTCGATCAGGTTGGTTAGTTAAGGGTCAACCTCAAAAAACCAAGAATATGTCAAACCAGCAGAACTCAAGTATTCATTCACTTCCTTATTTCTCATGGGCATTACGTTTCCTATTATCTTATATTGAATATCGAAAAGCTTTGTGTGTTTGAACAGGTAACACCCTGCTCCACTGTCGCTGTCACACGAGCTAACTAAAGACCTATTTACTACTAGTCCGATTTTTTTATCAATAGAACGAGGGTTACCTACCTGCATGAAAGATGAACGTCCTGAAAACGCATATCTCCTTTGACAAGCGACCATTTTTGTGTTCATTATCAGTTTGTATACTTCATAAATTCTAGATTTGATTGCGAAAACCTTGTTGAATAACTCAATGGTTGCATAGTCTGGTCAATTAATTGTTCTGCATATTTTTTTATAACTGCTTGGTATGGTGTCGTTTATAGTTCCAAAATAATGTTTTGGCTCGAGTTTGAAGAACGACGAGCCATTGTATGTCATGGTAGGCGTTAAAAACGTTCTGCTGCAACTGTTTAGACGTAGTGGTTGCCATAAGCGGTCCGGGAAAATGATCGATCATTATTTGACTCCACTGATCCTTGAAGGCTCAATGTCTTCAGTGAAACATGGATTGTCAGGTGTAATTCCAATTCTAATACCGCTTCCTTAAACAAACAAATACAACGTAGTATGGTTTTTCTTTGTATTTTAATTAACGAGTATATTATCAGACAGTACTCGTTCTCAAATCAACGTGACGCACATGATACGGAAGTTAATAACCAAATAGTCAGCAACTTGTGTATAACCGCATTTCTGAAGAAACGCAGAATTGTTTCTTCACAACATGCATGTACCAGTAAACCGTTCATGAATAATAAAAATACAAGACATTCTTCTCACAGACTATCTTTTTTTAATGTCACCATAGTTACCGTTGTTATAACTGACATTATCATCGTTAGTAAGCATTGGATTATAGTTACTGTACAATTTTTGTACATACATATTCTCTTATATATGTAAAAACTCCAAGAACAATATATTCTTTCAGCAAATCACGTTTTTTGTTCATTGTCAATATATATGACATACAAAACATTTATTTTGCGATACCACTTATTTATTTATTCTTCTCTTCGTCATGTATTGTGTGACTTTTTCCTCTCAAGCACTTGAAGTTTACGCAGGGTATACTTGTGCTGGATTATGCCCTAAGGAGTATTTACATAGTGACACGTATATGCAATAAATAAAGACCACATCTTTTCTTTGCGTGTGACAGTATGTGTAGCCAAATTGAGACTATATCTGTTGTTTATCTGTGTTCATCTCAAATTAACCAGCTGATTAATATGCAGACTACCTTTGGTATTCGAATAACTAATATCTCCGTCGTTCATACTTTTGCTTTATTAGCCACGGTCTGTAATTAAAAATTATAATGGTGTTAAAACAGCCTA